ATATTGACGCCGAGAGCCGTGACCTAGCCGGGATTCGAGCCCGGCCACTCGGTATCCGGGGGCGCTAACCGGCCTGTCGTGCTGGCAGGGACCCGAACCTGGGCCGCTCCCTTGGAAACCGTCAAGGCGCAACTGAAGTTCGAGCCCAGTCTGCCCACCGCGGCCGAGCGGGCTAACCAATCGGCCATAGTACACAAATTAAAACAAATAGCGAGGAGCCTCGCTGTATTTGGACCGGTAGTCTAGTAATGTCAGAGGTCTAGCATCAGATCATTGTTCGTGGGTCCGGAAGAAAAATGCGCGCATTTCAAAAGAGAAAGACGTTAACTTCTTTTGTCACATGTGAACTAACTACGTCACTACTAACTTTCGTTTCCTGTGGACTAACTACGTCAGCTTTACAGGGGTGTTTACCTCAGTTTGCCTGCCTGTGGCGCGCTGGAATCTATCGAGCATGCTTTTCTGGCTCGACTTGTTCAGTTTCCATAGACGTGACCAGTGACCTGTGCAGAACGAGGCGATGAGTGACTATTGTTACAAACAAGGCTGTGGCCGTGTGAATGATTTACAAGTATATGAGCTCGCAGGCGCACGGATGGCTAAGATGCGCGTAGATTCACCCAGGGGTGCACAAACTTCCCGAACTCTCCCACACAAAATCCCCCGAATAACTATCTGTCTGATCACTTTTTGTGCCATTTAAAGTAATGTTCAAATGATACTTATTTCTTTTTGTGGTCCCATGTTTCTTTTCTCATAATAAAAACACCCAACAGTGTTGGTATGCATTTTAGTGGTTTTATCACCTAAATGCAAAATATAAATATAAGAACTCAATAGAATGAGCACCTTCTCTTCGAAGCATTGACACCAACATTGTCACAATCACATTCATATGCGCATGCATAAACTATTTTAGCTTTTCTCAATTCGATCTGTGATCATAATAACAAAATGTCACCCATACAGCGGAATAAATTTATTAATTGTAAGCCCAAGATGTCTTCTAAACCTATGACACATTTCAAATGATGTATGTTTAAAATGTTAATTGGCTCTGTTCCAGCATAACATACAGAACATAATGATGCCGATTAGAAACATGCACCGCATATATCGATCGTGCAAGTTTTTCGGCGGTAAAACATCTGTTCATGTGTTCATAACAAGCAAGGGAACAAAAAGTGCCCAACCAGACCACTCCACAACAGATTGCGCCGACCAACGCCACCTTCTGATGTGTCCCCTTATATAAGATTATTAATGCCATGGCTCAATGATGATTAATACCATGGCTCTCCGATGATTAATACCATGGCTCACCGATCATTAATACCATGGCTCACCGATCATTAATACCATGGCTCACCGATCACTAATATCATGGCTCACCGATCATTAATACCATGGCTCACCGATCATTAATACCATGGCTCACCGATCACTAATATCATGGCTCACCGATCATTAATACCATGGCTCACCGATCATTAATACCATGACTCACCGATGATAAATACCATGGCTCACCGGCAGTCCAGCAGCTCATCGCACCCAGACGCGCCTGACGCCAACTCCAAAAGCGGCATTACGCAGGGCCACGGCTCCATCACTATGCACGTAAATCTGTTTTTCTGCGGCTGTAATGCACGTAATGCTGCTGTTTACAGCTCCAAAATTCACGTTGGAACTTGTTACCCCTAATCGTTACATCGCGCATACTTCCGGGATGGAGCAACCATCCTCCTCTCACACGGTTACGGACTTCAAGCTTGTTTTGCTGAAGCGACGCGCTGTACGCCACAACACGACACTGACACCCCACGGCAAGTTAAGGCATGGCAAATCTCAAAACGCTTTGCCGTGCTGGTTGGTTAGTTTTTCAAACGTTTTGTGCGCCGCAATCACGCAATGAATCACGTCCGCAAAATTCGCTGCATGGCTCCGTTCACGCTGCCTGCGGACCTGCGTTGTAAGCTGTGCAAATTTCATGGGTCGGTCTCATGTAGGCAGCTCAGAGGCAATCCGTGGGTCGGTCTCATGTAGGCAGCTCAGAGGCAATCCGTGGGTCGGTCTCATGTAGGCAGCTCAGAGGCAATCCATGGGTCGGTCTCATGTAGGCAGCTCAGAGGCAATCCGTAGGTCGGTCTCATGTAGGCAGCTCAGAGGCAATCCGTGGGTCGGTCTCATGTAGGCAGCTCAGAGGCAATCCGTGGGTCGGTCTCATGTAGGCAGCTCAGAGGCAATCCGTGGGTCGGTCTCATGTAGGCAGCTCAGAGGCAATCCGAAGACGGCTACATCCGTGAGACAACCAACCAGTTGACAGCTGATATCCAGCATTGAAGTGTGTTGTCGCAACTAAGATCATTTGTGAGTCCTGAGAAATACTGTAAGGGATATTTTCTTGTAAATAAATCAAATATTTCCTTTAAGAAGACGAGTAGAAATGATGTGACGAATAGGAGTTGGAATTCTGTCTCACAAGCACAGCCTTCCACATACTGTTCTGTCGCTTACATTGTAGGCAAGCAGGCGGATTTGTGCACCTCTGGGTTCACCTTTGCCTGAAAGGCGGTAACCTGTGTTCCTTTTCATCGCGAAAGTCAAAGCATGTTCTAAAAAAAAATTGTTCAGCAAAGGCATTAAGGTCTGTATTAGAAAAGCATGCACTAAGGAGTTGCTTTTAAACCTCATTTTCTTTTTGCAAAAATAAAAAAGTGCCCAACTCAGTGGGGGGGGGGGAGGGGGGGAGAGGCAGCGACGGGGGCATGCCCCCCGCAGTGAGATACTAAGTTATTCCTGCGGACCGATCGGCCAGCGGCCGTCAGTTCGCAACGTCACGTTGTGTTCGCCTCAGTCTTTGCCTTAGCCACTGAGCATAAGCAGCCTGCGCCGCGGGGATGCCCGCCATCGAACATCTGCCCCCGGCTCAGCTCCTGTGCTACACACTACCCACCGGCCAGTTCGAACGCACTTCTCTCGTCCCTGACCGATGGTGTACAAGCTGGCGACCACTCCATGCTTCAGCTATCCAATGCGCATAAGAAAAACGTTTGTTTTTTCTTTGGATGTTTATTGGAAGGGTTGGTCACAATAAATAGTCACTGTCACAACGGTGGTAGTCCAAGTTGAAACAACGCGTCGGGTCCATTCAGAGCAAATAAGCCAGTTTAGTGGCCGTATCCGTATCCACGGCCATATCCACCATAGCCGAGACCACGGCCGTATCCACCATACCCACGGCCGTATCCATATCCACCGACGAATCCACCGTATCTACCGCCGGAGCCGTATCCGCCACCGTAGCCGTATCCGCGGCCGTAGCCTCCGTACCCACCGCCGTAACCACCATATCCACCGCCATAGCCGCCGTATCCGCGGCCGCGTCCGCCGTATCCGTATCCACCGGCATATCCACCGCCATGACCATAGCCGCTGGAATCGCAGCAAAGGTCAGAGGTCAGGGGACGAGTCAGGTGCTAGCCTATCTGTACTTGCTAATCAAGTCCAACCTAGCCAAAATGCCCACAAATGGAGTCTGTGATTTCATCTGGACGGCTGTCTGATTCAATTTCTGAAATGTAAAAGCTGCACAGCCACTGCACATCATAACAAAAACAGCATAAGCATATTTCGATACTGACCAAACGAATTACCTTAACAAAGCCACGACGGTGTGTGCTCGCATGCTTTGGCTGCTCACTCCCAGGCATGGAAAATGGATACAGATAGGTCTCGTTTAGCCAAAATAAAGTTCACGTTTATATTAACCTGGACTGCCAAGTCGAAACACATTACTTGACGGAAAGGTCTCATGTATTTGATCCATATCCATGGGTGCTGGGTACGAAGATCCAGCACGAAGATAGGTACGAAAATGGACAAGAAGATACCGACGTGTGCTGAGTGCAAAGATCCAAGGGAGCACCGCCGGTTAATTCCCCCCCCCCCCCTTCTCATTCAGACTGGACCAGCACTGACCTGTAGCTCGGGTGGACA